CTGTCTCTCCTCAGTCTGTCCAACTGTCTGCCTCATCTTTCTCTCAAGCTCTCTTTCTGTCATTATGCTGACAAGCTCTGGCAGGCCGATTTGGAGGCCGAGGACAAATCAATACACCATCTAACAGCTGTCAGCTGGGGTCCTCTGTGTGTGTGTGTGTGTGTGTGTGTGGGGGGGGGGGGTGTGCAGAGCGGCGCTCCGCTGGCGTGGAACCGCATTCATTACTCTTTCCTCTCTTCCGTCCCCGCTCGTATATAGTGGCTGGCCTTTTTCTTTAATTTAATGAGGGTGTCAATGAGAACTCAATTAATATTTACAATGACAATGAATTCAATAAGGAGGGTGCAGAGGACACCGGTTTTATTATCCTCGTCATTGTCAGTGCAGAGAATCCACCGCGGTTTTGCTCCTCTAGTCGAAAAACAGGATTTGCGAAACTTGAATTTAAACCTGTAAAACTTTAATTAAATTACAACTGAAATGTCCAGGCTTACCTTCATTGTCTGCAGCCAGGGAGTGATCCACATTAACCTCAAGTAAATGGGAAGGAGTGTATCTGTGTGTGTATGTGCACGCGTGTGTGTGTGTGCACTATCCAGAGCTTGTCAGTTCCAGCCGCACTGGCCGGGTCTAATGACTGGTTTGACCTTTCACAGAAAACGGGATGAATGGCGTGATATCTGCTTCCCTCTCACCTCTGCACCCGCTTCTGGGCTCTCACCTTTTTAAATACTTACATCTTACTGCCTCCTTTTCCTCTGCTAAAGCTCCTTAGTTGATGTTCTTAAAATTCTTTCATATAAAAATCTCAATGCATGTTTTTTCAATTCCTCTATATCATTTTTCTATGGAAGCTGGATTTCTATTTAGTTTTTTAAACCACTCTTGTTTTATTTCGCTCACTTGCTCATTTAGCAGCAGTATGTTGTTTACGTTTGTCATCTGTGGTCAAAGTTTGCTAAAATTGTGAACGTTGAATATTGCTTAAAAATAATTACTGGTTGTGATGTGCTTTTATATTGACTCAATAAAACATTGAGCTTTGTGTTTGTTATTATACTTAAGTTAAATCACCATGAACTAAAAAGTACCCAACTCAATCAAAAACATTTTTTTTCTTAAACACCTTTAATGCATTTGATGAAAAAATAGCATTCAGTAGATACAAACAGAAAAGCAGACCAAACGCATCTAAACAAACTGTAAATATCACTATAAGTGATAGTGAACCCTACTGTGAATGAATCAACGAATGAGGAAACACTACAGGTTGATGGGAATTAATGGACTGGAATTAAAGTAATTTGTTGTTTGTCCACTAGAGGGAAGCAGAGACACTAAACAATTCCATCCTCTGTCTCTGGTGCTGAAAGGCTCTTAAATCTCCGTGGTTCTCTCCAAGGTTCTGAATCATACAAAGCTTTTGAATATTATAAACTAAGGTTCATATCGAGGGTCTCTTGTGTACATGTTAGCAGCAAAACTCAGCACTGTTGCTAGGACACAGGGTCTTTAGTATTTATTACACATTTGCAAGAGTGCGGAATAAGGACAAGATCAAAACTGGTGAAAAAATGTCCTGTCCAAGCACATATCTTAAATGGATGAAAACAGGCAACCCATTCACAACTAGCTTCATTAGTGGGACTTAAAAACCAAACCAATGTAAACGATCATTGCAATAACTTTGCAGCAGTGTGTGAATTTTGTTTGGGAGTTTTTTCCCCCCCATGCCAAACCCATGATAATCCTAAATTCTGAAAAAGGTCAGTGTAATAAAGTAGTTTGTGATTTTCTTTGATGCTAAAATCGCAATATAGAATATGCAGGCTTTGATAAGTCACATGACTACTGAGTCATCTCATCTCCCTCTTTGTACGTCCTCAAAATTAAGACGGCTCATTGTGAAGCAGAACAACAATCCAGCACATCAAAGGCAGAGACGGGTCCTTCAAATGACAAAGCAGATGTGCGCTGCGGCTCCGCTCCGTATGCAGATGTGGGGGGGGGGGAAGCAATAAGCAGAATGAATATCAGAGATTAGACAGAACATAATTGGAAACAAAAGAAAAAACAGGCTCCTGAGTAAAATATGGAATCCTTAATGACGGCCCACAGAGATACGATTAAGCAAACGATTGTAATAAAGACATTTCATTAAAAGGGATTAAATTTGCCTTACACAATCCCAGATATTTAATAGAGACATCATTAAAATTGGATTTTTCATATGAGAAGTGAAATTTAAATTTATCGCCTGCCAAGTTTCAGCATTCGAGCAAATGCATCTATTTTAAAAATCTTCCACTCAGCAGGTTTGCCTAAAATTAACCGCAGGAGATAATATCATCTGCCAGTCACAATTTAGTGCTGGACTCACTCTGCCTGAAAGCTTGACTCTGGAAATTCCATTTTTATCTGAACTAATGGTGTAATATTTCCCACAGGCGTCGTTTTGGATTTGGATTGAAGGAAAATTCCTTCTTTTGATTATTAGATTAGATTCTCATTAACATCAGTTTACAAGGCAAGCACTTTGAATTGCTTTGTTGCTGAAAATGTGCTATATAAATAAAATTACCTTACCTTACCTTCTTTAATTTATCATTTTTAGTGTTAATAGTGCCAAGTTATTATTATGTGGTCTCCTGCCCCCTCTTGTGGTAAATATTTTACATTTTATATGCAATTTTGAATTTGCATCTCTTTTACATAAATTAAACTTTGTTATCAAGAGATATATAACTACTGTCGCAAAAAAAAAAAAAAAAAAATCATTCTTATTTTTCACCTGCTACCCATGGCCTCCTTACAGATTTATTTTTGCTTTTTCTTTGTCGTCACACTTAAATGCTTCAGATCATCAAATAAAATTTTATATTCAATAAAGATACACTGAGTAATTGTTCATTAAGCAGCATAGCTATCCAAACTGATATGGCCCTGTGTAAAAAAAAAAAAAAAAAAAAAAAAGCAGAAGAAGAAGAAACCCTAAACCTCGGATCTAGTTGAGCAATGACTGACATCAAATGTTTATAACTGGCAGTGTGTTCTGGTCATTTCTCCTTTACAGAAATAATTTATTTTATCCAGGAGCGATGTGGAGAGCCCTCTCCCAAGGAGGCTATTTCTGTTCAGTCTTTTTCTAATTGTTAAATTTGAACACTGACTTTACATGAGGCCAGTGCGACCTGCAGAGTTTCCTATTTTATTTAGTGTTGGTTTGTTTTTTTGTTTTTTTGTTTTTTTGACCAGCCTCTCCTGGACGGGCTTATCAGTGCTGCATGTTTTCTTCTGTAGTAAATAAATACACTGACTTTGGTTAGCTTTGAAATAGCTTTGCTACTCTTTGTTTTTAATTTGAAGATTTGTTTTTTTGTTGTTTTTTTTAATGATGCTCTGCTTTTGGAAATCTTTCAAGAGGGTTTATGTTTAAACCAATTGTTAACTTTCCAGGTCAGATAATAATCAGGAATGGGCTTTGACTTGTGAAATTCAGCCCAGTTAAAAAAAGAAAATTAGCTCAGTCACAATTAATTAACATTAGGGGTTAAGCGCTTTTTCTCATACTGTCCAGTCAGTTTAGATAAGCCCCCAGACTCCTTAGTGAACAAAATCATCATTTAAAAACTACATTTAGTTTTTACTTTTATTTATTGTGGAAAAAGATTTTTTTTTTATATTCTGAAACATCTAAACGTAACAAACAAACAGTGGGGATAAAAGCAAAAACAGAAGAAATCTGTATGGGGGCAAACACTTTTTTGACTCAACTGTACATGTACAAATTAAAATAAATAAAATAAATATGACTCAAACCAGCCCAAAGCAGTGCTCTTGAATCCCAACAACATATATTAGTGTTGAAAGATGTTATGGTCTTTAGTAGAATTAGCACTCAATGACCCAAGTGAAAGAAAGATGTTACCACAGAATCTATGAAGGTCACTTATATTTAACCAATGTGAATTAGAAACTTTGCTTTGCTCTAAATCCTGACTAATTTCATGAGTTGCCTGAAGATACATTCTTATTTATTTAGTTTTACTAAAAGCTTAATGGCAAGCGCAAGGTCCTGGCGGTCCACAGCTATGCCTTGCCAGTAATCAGTTACTCTGTTGGGGTAATAAGTCAGCCAAAGGAGGAAATTCAGACCACAGATGAAAGCTGCTCACAATGCTTGGTGAATTCCCCCCGAAACCCAGTATCCACAGGCTACACATTGTACACTAAGTGCAAAGAAGGAGGCAGATGAATAGCAAGCATCAGAGCCACTATCCAAGATGAAACATCCATGCTCTAAGAATATATCAGGAAGATGGCCCCGAGGAAGGAAGAGCTCAGTGAACATCCCAGACAAAAGAAGCTGAAAGAGACAGAATGAGGAAAACCATCATAGGAGGAAAAACCTTGAAAACATCCTGTGCATAAAAACTGCTTGTTTCATCAAAGGCAAAAAAATATTGATAAAAATAATAGACTTTACCTTCGTGTTTTGCAGGTAAAACTTTCTGATGAATTAATGAACAATTATGTTGCTGAAGGCTGAATGAAGGCTAAAATATTATTACCTGATCCAACTCATCCAAAAGGTAAGGTTGTATGACACAGTACCATACAAATATAATAAATTAGGGTCCCAAAATCGTTAAAGACCCTCTAAATTGTCTGTATTAGAAATACCAAGTTCAGTTGCAATTGCTCTCATAAATTCCTATAAATTTTCAAAGAATGTTTTACTTTTAGAATGTGGTATTGGTAATGTTTTTTCCCCATCTAAATATGTTTTTTTGTTGACATGCATCTATTTTACTTAAACTTTATTATTTCTTCGTTTGTTTGTCCAAAACAACTAAAGATAATATCACACTGGATCAAACTATACACTATAGTTTGGTTTGATCGTAAATTGAGAAATGTTGCTATATTTTGATGGTTCTACACCAATATTCACAATCCTTCCAAATCCGCTATGTTCCACACGCTGTACTTATTATTCCATCAATGACCAGTAGGTGGCAGCAACGTGAAGCGTGGAAGACTCTTGCAAAACACAGCAGAAGAAGACCCGGAAGCCCTAGCAGCAGGGTGTTTGATGCTGTGCTATGGGGTGAGTAACTTGATATGTTTCAACTAGTTGCTCTTAATCGCAACCAAGTGATAAGATAAGCAAATGTTAAATATTGTGATGCGGTGTGAGACGAAGCGCGTCATTCGTGAAGGAGACTGTTGACTGCATCCGCCGCTGACAGCCGCTGTCCGCCGCCTACACAAAGCAACATCTTGTTCCTCACCGCTGTCTTTCAGTCAGCGTCACTAACGTCACTGTAGCTCGATGAAATGCGCTTTATGGAGAAATATTTGTGTCCAGCTCTCTCTCTAAAATTGATATGTGGTTGCAGGATCGACGACGAGGCTGGGATATAAATAACAGCTAATTATTTTTTACGCGCTGGATCTTACTGTCAGGCTGTGCTTAAATGTGGGAATGAATGAGGCTGTCCCACATTTCAGTCAGTTACATCAGACTCGGAGACATTTTCTTATATTCCCTCAGGGTTTACTCTGACATGACTGAAGCTGTTTGAGCAATAATGGTTTGCTTACAGTGCCTTGCCCATGGATTGAGTTATATAATACGTAACCACGAACTTCATTGTATTTTATTGGGAATTAATGTGATAACTGACAAAAGGTAGACATCTGAATCAGGTGTGTTTTTTTTTAAAAAAAAAAGGAAACAGGCAGTGTGCCTTAAGGACAAGAATTGGGGAAACACTGGCATATTAATAAAATATATGTTTATAGTTACCACATTACCAAATAAGAAAAATATGTCATTGGGTGTCAGTACTTAGCAAAGTGTGTTCTTTTAAAAATGAGGAACTTGGTTGATATCTTAGATCTAATGGCAGTTGCCTGTACTACATAACTTAAAGCAGAAGTGCCCAAAGTCAGTCTTCAAGGGCCGGCATCCTGCATGTTTTAGTTCTGTCCCTGCTGGTGGCAACAACCTTTTCAGGAAGTCAGTATTTTTCTTAGGCCTTCTAATTTCATCCAGGCACATTAAACCAGGGGGAGATCTAAAACATGCAGGATGCCGGCCCTCGAGTACCGACTTTGGGCACCACTGTCTTAAAGGAATGTAGAAGAGATGCCTCATCTTTCAGTTAATCATGTGCTGAATGCCATGTTTTTTTGAGAATCACCTCTTTGGTGCTGGAATTAGAGTTGAAATTAGACTTGAACTCTGAGTTGGTGGGCGAGCGCTTTTTTATTTCTGAAAGCAAAAACTTAAAGAGTGACTACATTAAATCTGTAAAAGGTATGAAAAAGTAGTTGAATGATATGAAGCTTGAATGGTGTTTCCAGGTTAAAGTACTTGGAAATAGTTTTTCCAAGTACTTTCTTTCATTTTAGTGGCGCCCAAGATGATCACAAAAAGCAATTTTTTTATAAGCCATAGATGATGTCAATACCTAAAGACAGCAGCATTAGGCCTGTCACGATAACAAATTTTGCTGAGCGATTAATTGTCTAAAAAAATTATTGCAATAAACAATAATATTGTTTCAATACCTTTTGACACTGATTTAATGGAAATGACTAATAATGCAGCTATTTCCTGCCATAGATGGATACACTTTATTTTCAAACGAACACATAACACTGGAACTGATAAACTAAATAAAGCAACCAAAAACAAAAATGAAATGGATTCTCAGTTTCCATTAACAAAAAACGTACTTGAATAAAAACTTAACATAAAGCCAAAGTGAAATAAATACTGCATTCAACCAAAAGAGTGCAGATTATGAAGTCTGTATACTATATTGCCCTTCAGTAATCACTAGATTTAAATAGAGAAGATGGACACATCCGACTACCTAATGCAGTAGTTCACACTACACGATTTTTTGCCCCCATTTTCCCCTTAAGATAATCTTAGATCGTTGGCCGATCTAAGATTGTCGCTGGTGATTTCGTAACCGATCATTCTGCAGTATGATTTAGATCGTCGTGGCCGCTTCGATCTAAATCAGCGGTTTTCCCCGACCGGGAGCGTTAGAGCTGATTGACAGGTAGCCAATCAGAAAGCGCGGATTCTCCTCCACGCTTTCTGAGGGGAAATAACGAGGGGAATCCGAAACAGCTGACACGGCGCAACCCGAAGTCCAGCGGACATCGGAGATGATATGTGGAAACAACATTAATGTTTATTCAACATTTCGAGAAAGAATGTAGAAATGACAAGGGGAGGAGTTGGAGCCAAATTGCTACCGCAGTTGATGAACCCGGTAAGTTTCCAGCTGTTCTTCGTTAACGTGACATAAATAGGTTATAATGATTTTCATTCAGTCAGGACTCCAGCCACATGCATCACAGGTAGATTCTAGTAAAGCATTGATTAATGCCTGATATCAATATTATTTAACTGGACTTGTTGCCATTATTTTGGGCTAAAGTACAAGTCCAAAATAATGGCTGTTACACTAAGGAAATGGGAAGGGAGGGTCAGTGGAGAACACCGGAGCTGAGCCTTTTTTCATTCAGTGTCATCGGGAGAAAGGGGGGAAAAAAAGGCAGGAAGAGACGATAAAGCTGATAATTAAAATGAGGTCGATAGGTTTAATTTATCATTAATTGATTTATCGTTTATCGCGACAGGCCTAAGCAGCATTCACACTAATTAGCGTACATTAGTGTACATTTCTGTGGAGATAGGTCTTAAATGACATTCACAATTGTCTCAAATTTGAGTTGGTGAACCCTGCAGAAACCCTGCCATGATGTTCTTCTGTAGTTTCTGTTTCATTCCAAACGTTGAATCCTTCCTTTCTCTCTCCCTCTTCTGCAGTCTACCTTAACCTTGCTGATCTTCTCTGACGATAGGCTCCCCTTAGCCACCTTTTGACATGCAAGGCTTTTACTCCAAGCTCAACTCTTCCCCCTCCTCGTCTCCCCTGCTGGGGGTGGGCCTCAGGGCGGACAGCGCTCGGGTGCCTCTCAGCTTGGCCGTGGAGGCGGAGAAAGCCCAGGCGCTCCTGCAGACGTTCAGCTCCGCCTCTCTGTTGGCTTCAGCCGGACTCGGGGTGTTCTGCGTGGTGGCGGATCATGCGCTCCAGCTGTCCGCTATCCAGCAGCACCTGTGGCTGCGTGCTGCCTTGGACAACGCCACGCACGGATTGGTGGGGCTGTGGTCGTGGGCTGTTGTGATCGGACTGAGGAAAAAGAGTGATTTATATGAAGTGCTGCTGGCAGGCCTTCTGGCATCCATTATAGACTTGGACCATTTCTACATGGCTGGATCTCTGTCTCTCAAGGTCAGAGCTGTGCTACTTCTCACATTCTTTTAGGCCAAGTGAGACCATATCAATAATCTAAAAGTATGTAATTTCCTCCTCCAGGCTGCCGTGTCGCTGCCCCAGCGGCCTCCTCTCCACTGCTCCTCCCTTATCCCAGTCATCTGCCTCACCCTCCGCTTCCTGATGTGGCTTGGCCGCCTCAAAGACTCTTGGTGCTCGTTGCCATGGATGCTCTTCATTTCCATGACGTCTCACCACGTGCGGGACGCCGTGCGCCATGGCCTGTGGGTGTGTCCGTTCGGCAACACGGCGCCCGTCCCCTACTGGCTGTACGTCAGCACCACGGCGACACTTCCGCACCTGTGCTCCGTGCTCATGTACCTAACGGGAACCAGGGACGTGATCTCGACCAAACACGGCGTTGCGATCGACGTGTAGATGCGTCAGCTATCCCTGGATCAAAACATTGACAGTTTGAAATATTCAAATACTTGAAGTGACTGAAGAAAAATTTCTAACACTTGAAAGATTAAGATGATTTTTTTTTTTGTTTTTTATTTATTTGAGAACAGTTTTACAAAAGCAAACAGCCTGTACATAGACACACGAGCGTTGGGGTAGCCTGATGATTCAGTCTGCTCCTTTAATAATAATAAAAAAGAACAGAACTGGATGCAGAAGTTTAAATTTGTTTTAGATTATTCTAAAACACATACAGTGTATGTGTATATACATATAGTACACATACAGTCTCTACATATGTTCATGTTCACCTTCTCTTGGTATCAACCAGGTTCTGGCTGGATTTTGACTTCTTTTCAAGAGAGGTAGATAATTGAAAGATTTTTGCTTGACATCATCAACATATACCTTTTAAATATTTTTAATATTGTTTAGATCAGGGCCAAAACCAGTTTGGATTTCTGCTGGATATCATCGTCCTCATAAACACCCCACATTTGTCCAAGTTTTTTGGCTGGAGTTTGTTAACATAGACATTGCCTTCCTGCGCAATCCTGCCTGATTCTAATCTCACTTCAGTGCTCTGCCTGGGTTTTCTCCCATTCACCCGCATTTCTCTGGTAGAATTCAACTGTGCCAATCAGCAAACAGAAGGAAAAGCTGTGAACGATGAGGTCAATTTACAAATTACAATATGTCTGCAGTTTTAGAACTGGCAGCAGAGGCAGTGAACAACGCTTCCTCAGCTCGGCATTATGTCATGGCCAAAGGTTAGCGATTGGGTAAAATTTAAAATCTCAACAGAGTCCAGAAAGCAATTGTTTTTCAGCAACCGAGGGTCCAAACCAGGGCTGGTCTTTATCAGGCAAGGAATTTGAAGGAGGCTTGTCCTCTATGATGATGTAAAACTTGCTTCATTGTGGACAGTGGCACTGGTCCACCAATTTTCAGTTGGTAAAAGGTCCCAAACATTGAACGTTGTTCTTAAGCATTCTAATATTTTATCTCAAGATGACAATTTGGGTCAGATGGTTGAAACTTTGACTCGGTTGGTTTTTCCAACAAGTCAGGTGTCCCAAAACACACATCAAAACTACTTTTGGAAAACCAACATTTGGCTTCTGAAATGGCGCAGACCATAATCCTGTTAAAAGGCAACCAGTTTAAAAAGGTACAAATTCCAGCAAAAACGTTCTAGATTTTGATATTAACAGACATGTAACAAATATTTTGGGGAGAGTATGTATACATTTGAGCTTGTAAGTAGTCCTGTGGATTCAAGGAAATACAAAATCCTTTAAGTTACTACTGTTGTGTTGTACAATACAACATTTTGAATATTTATGCTTATGAATTGAAGTACATCTCCGACCAGAACTGTGTTGTTTTTTGAGTAAAGGAACATTCCAAAATGGGTGCCAATCTTGGATCATTATGAAATGACTCTTTGTGGATACTTGTATCATGTATTTAAATCTTTATCTGCAAAGTAAGTTTCTCTGAAGTGACTCTGTCCAGTGACTGTTTTATACCAGCTTCGACATGTGTTAAAAATTTCCAGAATATATTTTCACAACACATGGGCTTTGAGATTCTCACAATATGGCAGAGAAAAAGTGTAAAATAAGTTTTTGTTTTCAATGGAAGTTGGAAAATATTATTTTTTTTTTCAGTCTGGTGACTAGAAGCTGTTCTTTGTCACTCTTTGCTGACCTCTACAGGAGAGACTTGTCACTGCAGCACATTCCCTTTCATCTGATCAGGCCGTTTAGCCGTATGGATGGTATGATCAGTAATTTTTGTGGTTGTATAGGTGGGACTTTGTAAAAACCTTAGTTTGTGTTGAAACTGGTAACCAACCCATGTCTGATCTGCACCAATCAGTGAAAAATTTTACAATTCAGCCTCAACAACTCAAGGAAAAGCCAACCAAAGGTCGACCACAGGCTGTTTGAAACTCGCACGCCATTTTTTCGATGGAGATAGTTTAAGCACATGTACACATTTTGACGATTTTCTGTCTGACTTCAACCAATGACATCCATTTCTAATCACCACAACACGAAATTGCCTATATTAATATGTAACTGTTATAGCTGTCCCTTCACCTGACACTTCATTGTGATGCTTGGAGAAGCCATTCTGTCTAACCAGCAGTAACTTGCTACTGTCTGAGCCTTTTGTCGTTTTGGCTTTCAGTGCCGCCTTCTTCAGATACGGACTGTTTCACTCTTCTGATTGTTTGCTTGTAACGTTTAAGCATTTGGTGATTTTTGCCAATCGCAAATCTGAAATATGCTGGATTTTTATTTTGTTTTTTGAGTAGGGTGTTCATAACATTGGCACATGTTTTATTGGTATGAAGAAACATTCACATTAGTATCGACAAAAACAGTTAAAAATGAAAAAAAAAAAAAACATTTACAGGTAGTCTAGTGAAATAGGTGTACAGTGAAAACACACATTCCTAAGCAGTATTATTAACACTAGAATTTTGCATAACATAGTGATGGGCTTGATGGGTGTATTGTTTGATTGTAAGGTATCATGGGTACGATGTATTTCTCTCCTGCTGTGTGTATTGTAAATGTAAACTTTTTAAGCAAGGTGAGAGTTTTATTTTTTGCCTTTTCTTTGGATTGAGGAAGCGGCTGTATTAAAGCCCCTTGTCCACTAGAGGGCTCCTGGAGTTTGTGTATTACTGCTAAAAGTTTCTTTTCAAGCATTAAGTTTCTAAAATAATACAAAAACATTTGAGGGAAAGTTAGATTGAATTTGCACAGGTTATTTTATATATTTATATTTAAAAAAAAACAACTTTTTATTGCATGAGAGTATCTGATTTGTATGCGTCTCGTTTTGTTGGTGGCATCATTAATATTTGAATGACGGACATCCTTCATGTTTGTTGAGGTTCTCTGAACATTAGTGGAGAATAACGGTTGCTTAACACTGGAACTTTACCTTAAAGCTAAAGAAAGATGTGAGCACTGCAAGTGTTTTTGTCACACACCTCTGCACCGGTGTATGTGAAAAGTTTGTGTTTGTGGTGTGAATGTATTTGCCATGCTATTTAAAATGCTCCCCCCCCCACCCCCCCAGTAAAAATATTTTACTGCTGCTTATTTTCTTTTTATCTTTGACTGATTTTGATGTGTTGAATATTTGCACTTTAAGTTTTTAAAATGTGAAATATACTTAATTTTTGAGTGATTTTGTAAGGTGAGGGTCTTTAGTATTTAGAACATATGCAGAGTACCGAGTTAATTCTAGTGTTGTTCTTTTATCTCAATAAAATATATCCTATATAAATATTACTTTGTATATTTTTTTAGTTCCCTGCTAACTGTAAGGCCAATTTTCTTGTGGCCTGAGTGTATTTTGAATGGACACTTAAAGGCATCCATGTAATTATTGTCATGTTTGACTGATTTCATTACAGTTTTAAGAGAGCAACTCTATTTGCTCTTGCATAAAGTGCAGAAAAAAATGGCAAAGTAAAATTAGATATGCATTCCTAGATCTCAGAAATACATTTCATATACTAAAACAGTGCTGAGTACTTAACCATGACAAGTTATAAGGGAATTATTAATACAGATTAAATTCTTATTCTCAAAAGGATATCTTTGTTTTGTTTTTCTGAAGATTGAGCATAAAAATAAAGCATTTATAGGTAGTCTAGTTAAATAGATGTGACGTGAACAAAGTGAATTAAGCAGTATTATTAACACTAAAATTTCCCATAACATGCAACATAGTGATGGGCTGTAGGGGTGTGCTGTGCAATTGTAAGGTATCACAGGGACAATGCATTTTTCTCCTGCTGTGTCTATTGTAACCTGGAAACTTTTTAAGCAAGCCCAGTCTTTTCCCTTTTCTGTTTTTTGGATTGAAGAAGTACATGTATTGATGTCCCGTTTCCACTAGAGGGCTCCTGGAGTTTATAATACTGCTAAAAGTTTATTTTCAAGTGTTAAGTTTAAAAAAAAATAATAATAATAATGCAAAAACGATTGAGGGAAAGTTAGATTAAATTTGCTCAACTTATTTTATATATATATATAAAAAAAAATAATAATAATTGTTTTATTCCATGAGAGAATTTGCTTCGTATCCGTCTCATTTTGTTGGTGACTTCATTGACATTTGAATAACACACATCCTTCATGTTTGGTGAGATACTCTGAACATCTGGAGAACAACGGTTGCTAAACACCAAATGTTATCTAAAAGGTAAGGAAAGATGAGATGTGAGCACTGCAAGTGTTTTTGTCACACACACCTCTGCACCGGTG